TTACTATATTTCTTGGCTCTGATTGGTTGTTTTCGTTGAAGCCTGGTGGATTCTTGCAAATGCCATTAGGAATGCCCCAGGACCCAGAGGAACCAGATTTTTTCCTGTCTTGTCCTGTCTCAAGTACTTCTGTAGTGAAAGTTTCAGCAATAATGACAAAAAGTTATAAAAGTTATAAAAGTAACCTACTGCAGCTTTAAGTATTCAAAGTAATATTTCTCAAATGTTCTATTGCACAAGAAACAAATTAGTTACAGCAGATGTTTCAGCTATGCACCGGTATGGTGGTACATGAAAAATTCATATCATACAGGAAATGAAAACGGGTATACCGGTTCATCCCGATTATCACCCTGCACTAGTCTACGCTGCTGGAAACTTTCAACAAGAAGGAGTAATGGTGGAGAGGAAGAAACAGTTCAAAGCTTGTTTTAATTACTGTAAAAGTATAATTTCAAGAAAGGGTGGAAACACCAGCAATATGATGAAACATCTTTCTATGCAAAAGGGTTAAATTCCAGGAATGCCTGTATGCCTGAGAACCTGCTCCCTCTATAGATAACAGCTCATTCTAAGGTAAGAGAAACACAACAACTCTTATATTCAGGTGATTATCACACTAATGAAAACATAGCTATGAAGACTACATTCCATTTCTGCCAATAGATCCTCCTAAATGTTAAACACTGGACCTTTAAGGGCTAAGGCAGTTGATATTTTATACTTCTGTCATTGTCAACAAATGCCATGAAAAGACCAGCAATGAACTGATGCTGCTAACAAGTATTGGTTTGCGTCTTAGAGATTTGTTACTAAAAAAATAAACACCAAGCTGATACTTTATCATTTTGATCTGAGAGTTGCTCAGAAGAACTGTGCAGTTTATCCTGAATATTAGTGCTGCCTTTCATTTGTTAAGGCGTTACAAATCAGTGATGCCTGGATGTCTGGATGCTGTAGTGTGATGATCATTTTCCTTGGCCCTACGGTTATAGTGTAGGAAAATGATAGTGTAACAATAAACACAAATAAATAAAATACAAACTGTGGAATCAAGTGATAGCAGTTATTATATACCTTAGTTATTATTGGTTAGCTTTACAAGCATGCATAGCATTTTATATATTTTATGTTGAGAGAAATACCACCCCTTTGTCTATGACTCAGTGGGCGCTACTTCTTTTTCTCCTTAAGGATTATATGAAAATATGCCCTATCAGATATCAGATACTGAGAATCACAAGCTGCTGGCAGACAGAAAAAGCTGAGTGTTCACCAATCAGACCTCAAAGGCTGTGATTGAACAATCACAGTGTACATTGTGCTGAAAGCCATATCAGAGAATTAAAATGACACAGTCAGTGGCAAAACATATACACCAGTCAATGCTTGTCTGAATATTTGTTTATTATTTAGATTTTACCAGGGTTGTTGCACACTATAAAAAAAGGGGACATTTCTTATGCAGTCATTAGCTTTGTTTCAATCAACATATTTTAATTTGCATTAGGGATAGGTTGGCAACTGCAAACTTGTGGTGTATGTGGTTCCTGCCTTTTGAAAAAGAGTTAATGCACTTAATGGAAGATGAAAACACTTTTTCCAAAGTAGCAAGTATTTAACTCACATGATTGATGAGCTGTTTCTGCTCCATCTTCATCTTTGGACAGCGTGAAACCATGGCTACATAAAGAGAAGTGGATACAGTGTTGGAGGTGGCATCTCGTTCATTTCTAAAAAAGCCACTTCCTGCTGCAAAGAAATGACCCGGATGAATACTGTGCATCCTCTATGGGCCACAGTGGCAGTAGAGACTTGGGCTGGCCGAGCCGGAAATTCCAGTTCAGCCCTCTGTTAACTAAAATAGGAATAAATAATTGAATCTTATAAATTCTTCTAGACTTTAAAAATGTTACCGGACTTCATGAATAAAATTCTGACTGTGAACTGAGTCCTTCTGCCGGGGTTGTGACACTCAAAACAATGCATCCACACACACACTTCTTTCCCAATGTAAGCTTGTGGGAAAAAGTCTTTTTGGGCCAGTGTGCATCATGTGATGGACGCCATTGCTGTAATTACATTACATTGCTGTCTGGCCACTATGTCAAATCGGCTTCAAAGCCCAGCACTCTTCTTGGGGGCTTGCATGAAACATGACATGAAGGAATGATTACAACTTGCCAAACTGAAAAAATCCTGAAGACATCTCTCCATTTTTCTCTCATAGACTGCGACTGGTTTTATCTCATCTTCATCCCTGCTATAGCCTCGTTTATTCCCTCCAAACCTTTTCTTTCACATTTTCGTTTAATTTTTCTTTTTCATGCCGGCATTTCAAAAGTTCTCTTCAAGTCTGCTTGACAGACAGAAACATGGTAAACTTGGCCTGAGGAGATACTATACTATTTAGCCAATGGGATCATTTGTTAGTGACAGAGACAAAAGGCAATATATCAATATGTATAATTAAATGATTCAATCATCAATCATCACAGTAAATCATTTGTAATAACTATGGAAATACACCATATAGTAAAACTGATTTTGGGGAAAAGATGTTTCCAATGGAGCACATTTGCTTGCTGACTTGCAAAACAGGTTATAAAAGGTCATTATCTTCAGTAACAGATGCAGTGGAAGAAAATATACAAGATAGAAGCCATAAGAGTTTTCATCTACAGATCTTTAAATTGTAGACCTTAACTTTGTGGCCCGGTGTGAAAGTTACTGCATCAACACTGACATAAAACTAATATTTGCTTACAGAGGACCTTTAAAGCAGTGTAGTGTGAAAGCCTATCGACCAGTCTATAATACACTGCACTAGATTACTGAGCCTGCCTCCTAGAAAAAGACCTCCTGGGAATATCTCAAATGTCCTGTGTATGTTCTTTGTTCACACAGTTTCAAATGAGGCCGAGGAGCAACAAAGTACACATCAATGAGAAGAAATGCACAAGAAAACTGAGAAAAAAACCCAAACAAAAGGCCCTGTGTTACAGTCTTAAAGCTTTGAAGCTAAAGTAGTCACACAAATCTCTCTTATTCTGAAATGGTGAGAAAACATTTAGAGGTCATTTTGTGATATATTTGATGATATCAGTCTACTTCCTGCTTTGATCAGTATCTCCTCTGTATGCCCCTTCAATTACACACACAACCTACATTTTTGTGCCATCTAATACTGCCACAGAACAATATCTCCACATCAAAATGAATGATTTGCAACGCTACCCTGAAATCAGGGATGCACAGGTTAGGGGTAAAAAGTGCTGCAAACAGTGTGTCAGTAGAGAAAATATTAACAATTAAATGCCTTCATCTGGCCTACTCTGTAGAGAAATGTTCTTTAATTATATATCTGTGCATTGTATGAGCAGGATAAACACAATAGGAATATAGAAACTGTACAAAGACCAGACAAAGACTTCAGCCTGTAGAAGACAAAACGAGATGACAAAATTATGTTGGAAAATCAGCTAATAGTTTATTATCTATTATTATTACAGTCTTCCACTGCATTTTGGGAGATGGTAATCAATATTCAGGCACAGCAAGCAAGCAGAAAGCAGCCCATCAAATCACTGTGTCATCCTAGGAAATCTAGCTAAATACGTAGCTAGTTACATTATTAATCATAGTTGCCTTCTAATCATTCATAGAATCTGGAGGAATTTCCAATTTACTAGGACTGGTATCGGAACAACTCTACTGGCGAATTCAGCTACCTTGCAAGGTGAAGAATTCTTGTGAACTGATGTTGCATGTGGCTTGAACACGAGCCCCAGACCCAACCCAAATGACCCTCAAAGTCAAAACGAAATTTGAGGGAAAGTGAGGAGCATCTCTACACAATGGCCAGATATTAATCAGATAGCTACCTTGGCATGAACTGCATAGCAAAATCCCAGACGGTTGACAAATGAATTTCGTCTCATGGTTTAGCAGCATTTCAGCCAACCCTAATGTCGTTGCATAACGGATTTTGGCACATTTTGTCACTTTAAAACATTTATGCATTGGCCTAGACCTGGTCTGTGTCGTGTGGGGAGCAACATGTTCACTGTTCCTGTATGTGCTGATGTAATGTACTCAACTAATTATACCAAAGCCATTTCTTTAACACACACACACACACAACACTGGGGAGTGTGTGGCAGAGGGAGAAGACCAATGTACTGTATCTGAGAATAACACAACAATTGCCTTGCCTCCAGCAGGCTCTAAAAGGCTGTCATAATAACTAGTTTGAGAGCAAACTCTGCGCTCTGCACTAACAGCAGCATTAACGGCTGCATCAGGAGTATGGCTTGGTTATGAAATTAAATGAGGACAGAATGTCAGACATATCCACTTCTGCTTTATTCGCCCTTTCTTCTGCTTCCTGCAAAGCACACACACAGGGACAAAAAAATGCTCTTACCTTCAGAGAGCAAGTGAGCATGCCATAAACCAAAATCCAAACCAAACAATCAAACTATAAACCTGAAGAAACACAAAGATAAATGGACTAAATAAATGCAACATAGGAAGAAGCAATGTGAAAATACAGCATATGTTTTGTCTTAGCTATGCATGAATCACCCGTGAGCGTTTGAGCATTCACTTTGATGGTTTATCTTTAATCCCCAACAGCATTTAATTAGTAAAAAATAATATACACAATAAATCATTAATATTTTGTGGTTTTCAGGAAAAAATAATCATGTTCTATTAAGTACAACAGATGTTCTCTGAGTAGTTTTTAAAGTATAAGTGAAATAAAATTCAGGTTTAAGACGTCTCAAATGAGGGCTCGCTAGCGTTTTTTCTTCAACACTGCTTCCCATACAAAACCAAAGTTTCTGACTGATATAGCAGAGCAATAATTTATCAGTTTTTCTACAAAAATATTTTTTGTAATTTAGCAAATGAAGCCAAACTTTTTGTGCTCACCTGAACACTAACAAAATCCGGTCCGTCAGCAGATGTCAGAGATCCGGTCTGTTGTGACTTACCTCCTTGCCGAGGTCTTCTCTGATGACCTGCCGGATCTCCTCCATGGTGCTCTGAGGAGCTCGGCTGTGGAGCACCTTCAGTGTGGACGTGTACTCCTCGGGCAGCAGGTAGTCCAGAGCGCCCAGGTGCTGGCCCACCTTGATGAAAGTACCCCGGTTGGCACAGCACAAGTCTCGGAGACGCTCTGCCGACCGCAGATGCACCTACAGGCGAGGGAACAGAGAAAACAGACAAAAGGTCGCCATGTAAATGTCACGGTGTTCTGAGATGAGATGTCTGATTTGTAATGTTGATGCTCTGACCTAAGGATGGAGTCAAACAGTGTCTATACAAGGGTTCAACCTCTTTAGACGACTGTAATACAACTTAGTGAGCCTGGAAAGACTGCAGTTCATATAAAGTCAACAAACACTCATCACCTGGTCTCTCTTACATGAAAACTATTGTTTCCTTTATTCTAATGTAGCATCAATCTTTCCCAAACATTACTCAAATTATTTTATCTGTCTAAACTCAACCACACCTCTACCTATACACCTATTAACAGATACCTAGTTTGTCAAAAGCGCCAGGACTCATCCTCCAGAGAAGATTTTATTGCAGTCGACCCATTAGTTAGTAGCTAGCTAGCTCACTCAGGTCCTAACCAAGGATTAGTCAAGTTACCAGGTCATAGACCATACCATAAATATTGGTCTATGGTAAAAATATTCCTAGGCCTACGTCTCCCTATAGCATTTCATTCATTTCAAGTATTGAAATTGTTTCTTATTCTGATTTTATTAAGAGATAGACTGATATTTAGATTTTTATTAGATTGTTTATGATCTAAACTCTGATCACAAGCCATATTCAGAGAGCCTTCAGTCTCTGATAAACAGCCCCATCCTGCATCAGAAAAGTACGCAGTTAAAACAACAAAGAGCTGATAGAACAATGAGAGATTTATTATTCTTTTAAATTAATAAAAAGTAAATGAAAACTGAACACTAAATATGCAAAAAAAAAAAGTGCCTAAAAATATCAGGAAAACTAATCTCTGATGTAATATTCACAGGAAATAATCTTCTCAGAATTCATCCAAATCGCTCATTTTACACAAACTTCCTGCAGTTATTGTGTTTGTGTTCATTATACAGTTTATCAGTTGTCTCTCATATTATATTCAGTGCATAACAAAAACAGTATATCCATAAAATAGGTCACAGTCAGTTTACTCAATGATAGAAAATGGCTCCCTTCAGGAAAAACGTTGGGAACCACTGTTCTAAACCACTGGTTCTCAAACTATGGTACAGGTACCTCTAGTGGTACGTGGGAATCTCTGAAATATTATATAACATTTAAATAAATGAATTTAAAAACATAATACAATCAAAATACAAGAAACTGAATGAAAATACTTTGACTCAATATCAGCCTGATGCGTTCATCCATGATTAGTTAGGTGCTAAGATGTGATAGTAAGATCGTAAGCAGAGGTTCAAAAACAC